GTCACATACGCCCTGTTCAGCGGGGAGCCAATGGCGATTCGCTGACTTGAGCTGTGGCTCTCTGGCTGCCAGCACCATGGGCCCCAGCTCAGGACTGAGGGTCCAGAGGCCACAGAGGTCACATGATGCAGGAGGGTGGTGTCGGGAGATGGCGTCTCTGCTGCCCCAGAGTCTGGGCCAACCAGGGCAGCACTGTCACCGGGGGAGGGGAGAGGTGGCGGACGGAGGAGGGCTGGCAGGGGAACTGCTTTTCCTGGGAGGAGCCAGCCGGAGGGGCGCAGTGGGGACAGGGAGCCAGGCGTGGCCTGGGGGGAAGCAGCAAATGATGCAGGAGGGTGGTGTCGGGAGATGGCGTCTCTGCTGCCCCAGAGTCTGGGCCAACCAGGGCAGCACTGTCACCGGGGGAGGGGAGAGGTGGCGGACGGAGGAGGGCTGGCAGGGGAACTGCTTTTCCTGGGAGGAGCCAGCCGGAGGGGCGCAGTGGGGACAGGGAGCCAGGCGTGGCCTGGGGGGAAGCAGCAAAGGGGCAGCCCGGAAGCTGATGTGTCTGTCCTTGTTCTTGTCCAGGTCGCAGATCAGCTTGTCGGCCGCGCACCTGTTCCCGGTGTCCTGGGGAGAGAGCACGGAGCCGTTCCAGCACCGGCGCCGCAGGGAGCCGGCCTGGCCTCTCCACCCACCGGGGTCTGTCATCAGGCTGAGAAAGACCGGTCGGGGGCAGCGTGAGGTCATGTAGGACTCACACGCACACCCCAGGGTTCCCGTAGCAAGGCCACTCACTTACTAGTGCTCCCGTGGTGTGTCCGGGCGCTGCCCGTGAGCTCACACTCACACTAGTGTTTCTCATGGTGTCTGGGTGCTGCCCTTGAGCTCAGACTCACACACTAGTGTTTCCTGGTGTGTCTGGGTGCTGCCTGTGAGCTCACACTAGTGTTTCCCATGGTGTGTCTGGGCGCTGCCCGTGGGCTCACACTCACACACTAGTGTTTCCCCTGGTGTGTCGGCGCTGCCCGTGGGCTCACACTCACACACTAGTATTTCCTGGTGTGTCTGGGTGCTGCCTGTGAGCTCACACTAGTGTTTCCCATGGTGTGTCTGGGCGCTGCCCGTGGGCTCACACTCACACACTAGTGTTTCCCCTGGTGTGCTGGCGCTGCCCGTGAACTCACACTCACACTCACACACTAGTGTTTCCCATGGTGTGTCTGGGCGCTGCCCGTGAGCTCACACACTAGTGTTTCCCCTGGTGTGCTGGCACTGCCCGTGAACTCACACTCACACTCACACACTAGCATCCCCCCGGCCTCACCGTCAGCATGTGGTTGAGCTCCCTGCTCAGCATCTTGCGGAAGTCCTTCTTGGTGATGCGCCGGGGCTTCTTGCAGCACCCGCTGGCGTACTTGTCGTAGTTCTTCACCAGCACGTGGAGGGCCCACTCCAGCTCGGAGCAGTTGCTCGACATCTCTGTCCCTTTGTCCCTGCAACGGGAACGGAGCCGGTGCCTGAGCAGCGCCGGGGGCTGTTCTCCCAAGTCTGCACGGCCTGGGGGGCGCTGGGCGCCCGTGCGCACGCGGGGGACCCCACTTCTGCGGAGCGCCCCACTGTGCAGGCAGGGCTCCCCCAGGAGTCTGCTCTGGGCCAACTTCCCTCTCAGTTCACCCTGGCCTTCCCCGGCCAGTGTCCCCCTGGACACAGCCCC